TACACCCTGTGTATATTATTTAGAAATTTACATTCAGAAATTGATGTTTATTGTAAATTACTCAAGCTGAAATTTGACACTTATTGATAGAGAACAGGGTGTCCTAGGTATAAAACTTTCGGGTCTAATATCTCTATTATCTGCCAACGGATTTTTAAATTTAAAGTGTAGATAAGTAGATGACTTAGGAGGTGAAGAAGATTCAATTAGTATTAATAAAATTACCACAAGATAAAACAATAATTTTGACACATAGTTTCTCAATTGTTGTTGTTAAGCACTAAAAAATAGACCTCTACACGAGCCTCTACACAAAAAATTAACTGAATCACTCATCTGAATCAGCAGAAATACGTCGATTATGTTGTTAAAATTTTAACCTAATTTTTTTTTATCAAAGTTAACGCTAAGTAACAAGTAACATTTTATACAACCTGGAAAACCAGTGGTAAATTAAGTTAAAACATTTTTAAAACTTTTAGAACCATTGATGCCAATAGTGGTATGTACAGTTGCGAAATTAAAATTTCGGGCAGTGTTGTCATTTTTATAATGTAGTCATTAAAACAACCTTTACATGAATAACCCGCAGATCAAAGCGATGATTTAATTACACTTGATAAACTAATAAATTTCCTAAAACAGACAAATTGTTTAATTAACAAATTTAACAACAAATAAAAATAAGTTTAATTGTCAAATGTCAGTCGTGATGACAGTAAAGGGTAGTTTACAGTGAACTTTTTAAAGTGACAGAAAAATACTGCCCGAAATTTTAATTCCGCAACTGTACCTTCGAGCATATTTTGTTGTACTGAACTGGTTAGACCAATAAACGCAGTTCCTAAATTACGTTATTAACTTTTTGAACTTAAAAAAACAATAAACGTCAAATATCAATGACATTGTCGCCTGACAGCTAGGGGTGACTAAAATTCGGTAATATCGTTCTTTTTTATATAGCCGCCCATGTTTTTGCATTTTTTCATCCAGTTTTGACACACTTTTATTCATTTTTCTTTTAGGGACAGATTTTTGCTTATGACATTTTTTGTTGGCGATTATCAATTTGATATAAATTTTAAATAATTTAACATTTTTAAAGGGCTAGATTGTTTTAATAATACTATATTTAACTCAACCTACTAAATAATCTACATTTTAAATTTCGTTAGAATCCCTTTTCAAATAACAGATATTAGGTCCGAAAGTCTTAGGTGGGACAGCCTATACATATAAATTATTCATAAGTAATATAATATAAATTAATATAAATTGATTTTAAGTTTAAGTAATTAAATTAAGCCAAATTGAAAATTGATTTTGTTTCTGAAGTTTAACAAACACCAGAATTTAATAATGTTTTTGATTTTGGTCATTAAAAAAAACAAACAACGTCAACATAACTGTTGAATTTTCAATTTGTTTAGGTATTTTCTAAAGCACATATTTTGTTACGCCACTGGCGAGGTAAGTAATTGAAAAATTATTGTCGGTATCACATCGTCTTGGCTACTTGTAATCCGAGGGCACTAAAGCTCGAGTAAAATATCCACGAGAGAATTTGCAAATTGACTGCTCGGCAACACGAAAAGAACCAATTAAATAAAAGCTCCGAGTTTTTAGTAAAATTGAAACAATAATAACGAACCGAAGGTAATAAAAGGGCAGGATCATGCAAACATAAGCATTTAGATAATAACTATTATTGCCTAAAACTCCAGAGACTCTAAATTATATATCAATTATCCAACCATTCCCCTCATGGATACTCGCTAGACGACCCCACAAATAAAAATTACCAAAAGCAGGTGGACTCTGTATCTCAACGTATGGGGAGCTATTAAAGAACAATCAATTGATCTCACTTTTTTTTCAGGGTTGACGTCATTATTTTGTCGAAAAATGGAAATTTAGAGCATGGGAACGAAATCGTAAAATGTAAAACGATCCATAAAGTAACTTGGAACAAAATTCAAGCTTCTGTGGGAATCACAACCATGAAAATTGTCATGTTGAACCTCACATTTTAATATATAATAATTATCCGTTAACAATTACCTAAATGTGGTTCCGTCAAAAGCACAGGATATAAAACAGACAATTTGTCTTATCACTTTTGTATCTTAATTTGTCTGCGGTTAAATTACACAACTGACAAACAAATATAATTATAAAATGTCACCATTTTTAGATGTGGTGATGGTGATAGTCATCTCGGTTGTATAATTATATGCTCACTATTTGCACTGACAGCGAACTTCGAAAATGGCATTTTAATTAATGTGTTTTTCACATAAACATTTACACACAGAACTGATAAAACTAATGACGATTATTCACAGAAATGATTGCACATTATTAAGTTTATGTGTAAATGCAACTATTTATAATTTTCAAATCTTAGGAATGCATCAAAATGACACAAACAAAAATTCTATAAACAGACTGAAACAGAAACAGAAAATAAAATAATACAAAAACAAAGGCATTTAATTTACATTCTATTTAAACTCAATCTGTTTTTCTTTTTCCCCCTGTTATCATTTACAAAAGTGAGGGAAGCATCATTTAGGCCTCCTTAAGGGGCTGAAACTAATCCAACATAGGAATCTTAGCTAGAAATAAATGTACGCAATAAAATTTAGCCGCTAAAACCAGTTTAAGAAGTTTAAAACTAAACAAGTTAGTAAAATATAAAGATTGAACTACAAAAGAAAAAACACAAAATAACCCATTTTGCGTGTTTTGTTCTAACTTAAAAAATATACAAAAATATACCAGGAACATGGGAAAAATATTTAAAAAATTTTGACATTGCAACTATTTAGTAAAGGTACAAAAATTATTTTCCAACAGAAATGAATAGAGTCAAAATGCAAAATTTAAACTCTCATAACTTCGAAATTTTTATAGACATTTTTTTAAACATTTATACCAGGTGAACAGAAAATATATACCTACAGTGTGTCCCCGGATAGGTGAAACGACTCTGGTAAACGATATAAAATTTTCGATTTAAATTTTTATCTTTTTGGGATTCAGCCCTGCTTGGCTAAAAATCTATTTCTAATATAATTTTAGTTCAATAAAAATAAAAAAAAATCTATTTTCTTGTCAAGTGCCTCTTATGTAGCAAATACGACAAAAAGTTACTTTGATTTTTTATAAAATTTGGTATACGGGCCAAGATGTTGATTCTAAACACCTTTTTTAGTCAACAGAAAAATAGGTTTTTTGAAAATTTCCAAGGTGTAGGTACTTGATTTTTCAAAACTAAAATTGTGTTAGAAATTAGTACTTTAACCTAGTACGGCTGAATCCCAAAAAATGAAAATTTAAATCAAAAATTTTTTATCTTTTAGTTTCACCTATCCGGGGACACACTGTAGAACCAAACATTTTATGCTTAAACTATTTATTTATAAAAAAAAATTTACAAAGATTACAATCTAATAAGGATTACAACTAAGTATACCTATCAGTTTTAAAGAAAAAATTCTCATTAAAAAAAATCGCATAACTTAAAAACAAAATTTCATTCACAAAACACAATCACATTCTATAGCATAATTTTTGTAATTATTATTTTTATAATATGTTTTTATAATGTTACCAATCGTTGCAAAATTCCCTAGATATAATATTTTTGTCTTTTAATTTATAAAATGATATAAAGCGGCAAAATAGAAAAAATAATATAAAACACTCGATGCAGAAGGTTCTTCAAGGACTCATTTGTTCCTCAATTTCAAATTCGTGCTGAACAGATACCTTTTTCAACTGGTTTTTAATATACTATTCTGCCCTAATTTCAAAATTGTAAACAGTTTCTTTCCACCAGCTCTACTTTTTGAGATGGGCATTTTTAACAAAAAATACCTATTTTTGTCAATTTAAAATTTTAATATAAGCAACATACAAACATATTTAATCAAAAAAAAAATTCCTTTTATAAGATCGTCGAGTAGATATGAAGAGCTTAGAACGATTTTTCCGGCTGATACCAGTGATGCGAATATCACTCAAAAATAACAATTACCGTAATATTTTGAAATCCGAAGTAGTCAAAATATCTCTTTTATGCAACAGAAAAAAAATTGAATTTTATTGTGCAAAACGTAGTGTGAAAAAAATCATTGCAACGTCCGCTATTATCCTGGCCTGGCGGATAATAACAGTTTCTTTTTTTATAATTTCACCAAATATGTTACTTCCTCAGCCATTGCCTTCTTTTGCTCTGCAGTTGATGTAACTTTTAGGCTTACAATTATTCGGGGTGCTGAAATGCATTTATTCTTTTTAAATCTTTTAAAATACCACCAACAAAAATTTGGAAAACTTTCAGCAGCAGAAAAATTGGCATTGCTATATTTACATGCAAAGTCGCATTTTTATTTAATTATACCGGCTGTCTCAAAAAGGCCGGAGAGACGTGACATATACCATGTAAGGTGAGATACCAGGAAGGTGGAAAAAAGGTTAAATTTATTTTATCTGAAGTTATGAGATTTTAAATTTAGCACTTTTTGACTCAATTTCTGTTGAAAAAAATTATTTTCCCAGTTTTTTTGCTACAGGTTATTAGAAGAGAAAACAAGGTTGTATCCTAAATTGTAACTTTGTTTAATGTTATTTATGGCTTTTATTAGCAAAAGTTTTGTACTTTTACTGAATAATAATGAAAAACATATACAAGTTAAATAGACATAAAAATGTCAAATGTCAAAAATTAAATACTAATTAATATTTATTATATTATTAAATATAACAAATTATTATATAATACGATCGTGATCGTAACATAATGGTCAAAAATCTGTAAAATAAGCTCGGCATTAAAATAAATCCAAAATAAGCTTAGTAGCGCCACCTATGAGAATTTAACAAAAAAAAGGGCAAATACATATCCCTATCTTCAACAAGACTTGAAATACCTATAATTAAGTTCATCCTTGCAGAATAAGGAAATATTTTGTAAATGAAAACGAAACACAGTATTCAACAAAAAAATCTTTATTGTATAAATAAATAGCAGTTTAAAAAAATACTTTGCTTAAAGAAACAAGTGATCTTATGAGTTGTAGTTACATTAAACCTCACACAAATTGAACAACATTTATGATACAAGACTTTTTAAATTTTCATATGCTGCATTCATCACTCCCCAACTGATAAATGCTCTCGTACAGTTGGTTTGAACACCGTGATAAATATACCTAATTTTCCTACCTCTTTCATTATAAATTTGTACTAAAACCTTAAAAATATTCTCATAATTGCCACCAATTTTACTCTGCATCGCAACTTTGAGTACATTAAGTGGATAAAACACGCTAGATAAAAACACACCTATCATAGCACCACAAAAAAATTCACTAAGAGTTTCATAGAACTTTGAGTCAAATCTCGGTCTGTAGAATTGTACTTCTTCTCTGATGACAAAAAAGCCTACATTAGAGGGTCCATTTCGTAGCAAAATCGGGACTAAGCCTCGGTAGTATTCCCTGAATCCATGATTGAGCCCTACAACCTTAAATGCATGCAGTGTATTCCTGAACTCCTTGTGGTAATGTGCGTCTGCAAGCAACGTCTGTATCCTCTCAAAAGGCATCAAAATCGCCTCGGTGGTCCCCGCAATCATGCCCCCGGCAAACTTTGATAAATAACCGTTATAACCTGACAGCATAAGCGGCCGCCGCACTTCCTCATAAATCCCAAACATTAAAGACATCGAAAGAGTCTTCTGGCACAAGGGAGGCAACATGCCTCTATATAAATAAAACATTCCCTCTTCTTGCAGTTGACGAAACGCACTTAATGCATTAACGCCATGTAACATCTAAAACTGTCTCTTTAAACAACAATTTGTGAGAAAATGAAAGCAATAACCTGGCGAAAAATCACTTTGTTTATGGGATAGGTTATTGTAATGTTAATAAAAGCAGCGCTCCAACCGCATGCAAACTCCTTCCAGTTTATCTGGTAAATATCTTCCAAAACCAGGGGATCCCCAACCGCCGGATCATAATCCTCGATTTTATCAATATCCAGCATATTGACATTCGAGACAAATTTTGACATCTGTCAAAATCATAGGTTATGTAATACTACATAACACAAACTCAACCACTTACCTTTAAAAATAATTTTGGTTTATTTGACTAGTAATACGGTTATCACAAATTCATAATTTTCTTCATTTTGGCTGGTGTTAATAAATCATTTGTGCTAGTAATTCACGCATCGTAGTGGGCATGACGTCACAGACTAGTGACGTTTAGGTTAATTATTGATAGAAGTGACACTGACGTTTCTTTTGTTATCTACCTTTGTTGTTATTTGAAAAATGTTTACAGAGAGGTGTATAAAAGTAATTATAGGTGGGGACAAGGGCAATACTGACTACGTAGGCTTGTAATTATGTAAACAAAACGTCTCAAATACTCCAAATATGACCCAAATCTTAGGTGAGAATTTTAATTTGTTTTTCATCATTTGCTAAAGTTTCATTTTAGGTAACGAAAAGCAAGGACTAGTTTTCGAAATATTATCAGCACGAATATGTGATGAAGCAGAACAAAGAAAACATGTAGTGTACACTTTGCAAGTGCGTCATATATCGGGAAATGACGATTTGAGCCCTTCAGTGATAGAAAGGCGATACACTCATTTCCTGAATCTTTACAACGCCCTGAAGAAGGAACACCCGAATTTAATGACCAATGTTATTTTCCCTAAAAAAGTCATAATGGGAAACTTTGATAATGAGTTGATTTCAACCAGAAGTACCGGTTTTGAGTCTTTGTTAAATCACATTTGCACTGAATTAAAACTGCGCTCGTCTAAAGCTTTAGTCGAGTTTCTTCAAGAGGTTGAATTGGAGAAAGCACGAAATTTCCTCGAAAAACAAGACTTTTTTTCTGCTTTGCCACTACTCGAGAACAATTTCAAATTATTAAACAAATTTTATACTGATAGGTCGCCAGTCGTTCTTATAGCTTTATGTAGACTGCTAGGATGCTGTATGTCAATTCCTCAGTGTTCACAATGCCAAAAATGGGCTGATTTAGCCTTACATAGATATGAAGGAGTTAGTGATAGTGACTTATTGGAGCTGTATGTACCTTTATTGAATGCTTGCATCGAAATTTGGCGGCAGAGTGGAAGAAATAAGGATGCCCTTGAACAGCGCTTACAAAATTTGAAAAGGCAAGGAGTCAAATTTAATTCGCAGTCAACTTTATTAGATGAAGTAAAAGCAGTGGAAGAAAAGATATTTGGGTTGTAACAATTGACACACCAGTGTTGAGTACTTAACTAGCATCACGTCACTTTTTAGATACTGTTATTAATGTATTTATTTTAGAGTTTTATTTATTTGATGACTGATATTTGTAATGTTTAGCAATATTATTGTTTTCTTGTTTTATTCATGTCTGAATATACATCTTTTTTATTAATTTTCCTTTTATTCAAGTACACTAAAGCTCCTTCAGCACCCAACAATTTTTTAAGGATTTTACCCTGTTTTCAAAGGTATATTGGAAAAAGCAAATATACATTTTTAAGAGTTTTATCCTGTTCTTAAGGAACCTTTTATAAAAAGTCCAAATTTTAAGGATTCTGTCCTGTTTTTAAGAAATATAAAATTCGATTTCCGCTAGATAATTCACCTTCGGAAAAACAGTCAAAATTTGAGGATTCTACCCTCTTTTTAAAGTATATCAAAAAAGGTTTTCTTAACAAAACCAAATAATTTAGTGACGACATTGCACATCGTGTAACAAAATATCTTTTTTTTATGAACTCTTGATTACCTTGTACGAAGCACTATTTTACAGGGTTTTGTGTTTTCATGTGATTGTTTTAGATCTTTTGCATTTGTTTAATGATTTTTTTTGAAAGTTTAGTTTTAAATTTAATTTCAAACCTTTACCAAAAAAAGACAACGCTACATTTAATTTTTTAGTCAAATATATCAAAAATTTAAACTTTTTATATAAAAAAAGAATTATGTATTACACTGCCATCATTCTTGTTCTTTGGGTGAGATGTGTAGCTTATACGCGTATTAATTAAAAAAAAAACAAGTGATGGAATATTCAATTTGGACAAAACTTTAAATTAATTTAACTATTTTTGAACTTTGACCTTAAAAACAGGAGAAAATCGCGAATAATCCTAATTTATTAACAAATACAGTTTTTAGATCAGTTAAACCCCGTCGGAAAAATCCATCAATTTTCTTTTAATGTCGTTATCTACATGAATTTCTATAGCAAGTCTTCCACCTTAAAAAAGAGGGCAAAATCCTTGAAATAGTTTTTTTTTGCCGAAATCGAAATTTATATTTCTTAAAAACAAGACAGAATCTTTAAAAAAGTGTAGTGTCCTGATTGAGTTATTCTGTAATAAATTTTGATTTTGACACAAAGATTGTATATTTTAAATTATTTTCATCACAAATTTCTTGTACTTTCACCACGAGATAACTGACTTTGTGTACTCATAATTAAACTCACAAATTCGTCTAAAAATCCTCTCTTTGTAAAAAACTCGTCTCAGTCCAGAAATTTGTACTTTTGGTCAAACTATTCGTGCAAAATCATTCTAAACAACCATAAAATGCAATCAGTTTGTCATCTGTTATTTGAAACAAACAAAAAAACAATCAACTGTAATAGGTATACGAAAACTTTACTAAATGTTACGAGAATTATCGTGAAAATTAAACCAAATGTTATATCAAAAGTTTAATCTGTACATTCAGTGGAAAGAACTTAGACTGAACTAAACACATAACTTTAAACACAAATCTAAAACATAGAAATAACTTATACAAAAAAAATCCTCGAATTACTTTTTGGATTTCTTGGACCGATGTTTGTCGCTACTTTCCTCTCGACTGCGCTTTTTCGAATCAGAATGGGAACTTCTATGATGACGATCCTTATCTTTCGAGGGTGAAGACTTCGATTTAGAACTTGAAGATTTACGTCTATCGCTATCTCTGCTACTATGTTTCGAACTCGAATGTTTGCTACTTGAGGAATGATGGTTGTTAGAATGTTTGCTCGGGGAACTTTTATGGTTGCTTTTACTCGACGAATGTTTACTGGGTTTGCTCGACTTGTGATGCGACGATTTTTTTCGCTCGAAAGTATCATCGAAATTACGTTCCCGGTCTTCCTCTGCAGCTTCCCGTTCCAGATCTGACCAGTCCTTTCCGGATTCTTCATCAGATCCCAGATCATCTTCTCCAGAACCGCTTTCATCGCTCTCTTCAGTATCTCCCTCCGAATATTCAGAATCTTCTTCGCTTTCTTCTGAAACACTTTCCATATCGGTCGGTTCGTAAACTTCATCTTCATCCTCAGTTTCTTCTTCTTGTGCTTGGGCTTCTTCGTCCGATTCCGGATCCAGGAACGTCCATCCGCCGCTCTCGAAGAATCCCTCAGGATCATCGGTGATGGTTTTCATAATTTTCACCCAATTCAACGATTGGACACCTTCAGAGTATCGTATGTCGCACGAATTGAGCCATTCTTTAACATGGTCCAGCATATTCATAGGAATGGCATTCACCATCGCCGTTTTTCTCTGGTAATCTTTAAAAACGAAAATCATATCAAAGTTTTTCAAATGGAATTGAACTCTTTCAAAATGGACTAATTCGACGTCTTCAAGAGTGATTACGAATGGAGGCCATTCGGTTAAATTGACGAGACAACCCGACGTCGGTTGGAGTAATACTGTTGACCGGTAGGGGGCGCCAGGAAAGCCGAGTTCTCGGAAGGGAGTGTCGAACTCAATTTCTTGTTTTGTCATGGCTTCAACCTAAAAAAATCAAAATTTTTATTCAAAAATCAAATGACAATACATATACTTGTCAAAAAGACAAGTAAGCCAAGTAAATTTCAATATACTTGTCAAAAAGACAAGTATATTGAAATTTACTTGGCTGTTTTTAGCGACATTTTTGACCCAATTTTAAATCAAAATATTGAATTGGGTTTTAAAGACATTTAGAATTTTTGCCAACGTAACACTTTTTTGAAAAAAAAAATTATTTAACTTTTTTTTATTCAAATTTTATATAAATATTCATAATATTTAAAAAAAAACGCCTAGGGGAAAGATGTGCTGTGATGATACGAATAGAATGCGACCAAAAAACTGAAAAAATTATTATTAGTTTTTAATGAAACGCGAATATTCATTTTACTTTGACAAAATTTGCCGCCCGAATATCCTCATTGAATAGAGCGCCCGATTAGAGTGGGGGGATACTTAAAAACTTGAAATAGCTGAAAGCTGGAAGTGAAAGATGAGCGTTTTGATAGGGGCAAAGATGTAAGTATGCACCAAGGTCACAATATGACTCGCATCAAAAATTTGTCAGAGAAATGTTCAGTTACATTCAAATAAAAAAAGTACAAAAGTGAAGTAGAAAGTAATAAATAAATGTTATAGGAGAAAATCAGCAAAGTAGCTGACCTCTGGTGGCAGGCAAGAAACTATCCAAATGGGGAAAACATATTTTGACACTATCAATTTTCCATTTTTGTCAATTTGACAAGTCAATGTAAATATGAGTACTTACAAGCATTTTTGCTTCGTACCTCATTGCCAAAACTATGTGGGAGGGTCTATTTCGATGCATTACTCTCTAAAATGGAGATTTCGACTTTTGTCATTATTATTTTAAACAAAAAAATACTCTTACAAAACGTTAGGTGACAAATTAAATAAAGCTTTTAAGTTGTCACAAAATTCCGTCAAAATCCCGCCAAAACGTCGCCGCGCCGTCGTCTAAGCTACGCGCCAAAATTAGGAAAAGAGACATCTGTCACATTAACCGTAAACTATTCAAATGGGGAAAACATTGAGGTTTTAGTACCATCTATTTATTGGCGGTTGATTTTCTCCTATAACTTTTTTATAAGTAAAAAAAAATTGAAATCAGTAAAACGCAATTTTTTTTTCCTTATTTTCAGTGACTTACATAGCCTAGGTTCTAGTATTTCTGGTACTAAGGCCTTTTGGTAAAAATATTTTATCTTGAGTAAATTTTTTTTTCATAACGTGGGATCCGGAAAAATGCCATCAATAGAAAATATACAGGTGCGCCAGAACTCGCGCCCCAGAGAAAATTTTCAAGTAAGGTAAGATACCAGGAACATGAAAAAAGTGTTTAAAAAATTGTATCTGTCAAAAAATTTTGACATTTATTTTTTGACATTTGACATTTTTTTTATATCTATTTAATAATACTGATGATCTTGTATATGTTTTTTTTACAATTATTTAGTAAAGGGACAAAAATTTTGGCAATAAAAGCCACAAATAACATTGAACAGAGTTACAATTTAGGATACAGCTTTTTTGTTTCCTCTTTTAATAGCCTATAGCAAAAAAACTTGGAAAATTATTTTTTCAACAGAAATAAATAGAGTCAAAGTGCAAATTTTAAACCCTCACAATTTCGAAATTTTTATACATAATTTTTTTTAACATTAACATAACACATCCATGTTTCTGGTATCTTACCTTATATGTCATTTTTCTCTGGGGCGCGAGTTCTGGCGCACCCTGTATTGTTCTGCCCATAAAATAAAATCACAATTTTTTTTATTGGTGACCCGTAAGTAATTGAGTTTGGACCTGGTAATAATAATCGTGTTGTTTAATTTGTTGTTTGTGTCTAGACAAAAATAAGGTCTATATCTCTTATGGCTTCTTCGATGGTTTTATTTTGTGCAAAAAAAGAACACTGAAAAAAAAAGGAAACTGAAATATTTTCTACATGATAAAATTCTTTGAATTTTTTCTGTGGTATTTGTGAAAATAGAATAACGATAAAGTTGATAGGTTTTGAATAATTAACATTTCAATATTGCAAATTTGAAACTTGGAATAGTTTATGGGAGGGTTTGCGGTAATTGGTGATCAGGCCAGAATTTCTTAAGAGAAGAAAAAGTTCCGCAATGACATTTATGACGTACCCAAGCTCTATTGTGAAGCCTCCACTCTATTGTCAATGCATTAGCAGCACATCATCTCAAACTTGACCATAAATTTCTAGAATTCCCATTTTTCAATATTAAAATGTTCATTACTCAAAATCTAGCAACTTTTACATTATCCAATTTTCATAGTGACCATTAGAAAAAATCAAGCAATATTATCATGTGGAAAAGATTCTAATTATTATTTTTTTCCAAATTTGGTTTTTAAAGTCCCACTGACATATGCTAAAAATTTTGAACAATATTAAAGCAAGAAATTGAAGTCTACATAATCCTTTATCGTTTGCACTAACAACTTTTTTTTTATTAATTAGAAATATTTATTTTTGCGCCGGCCCTAAAACCTGGGACACTCTGTATAGAAACGATCGAACTAAGGGAGCCCAAGAACTGGTTTTTAGTAGCGTTTTCGATAAAGTCTCGTTTCTCTTCTGTTACATTCAAACTTGCTACAAAATCTCTAACTTCTTTTTTGAGAATACTTGTCTCTAGTAACGTTTTATTTTTTCTAGCTTTTTTCTAAGAGAAAAAATTCACTTACGCAATATTGTGGCCAATTATTGGTTCCCCAAAATCATCATCAACAATGTTGTTATCACCTGCTGAAGCCCTAATCGTGTGATGTTCACTCCAGATTTTTTTTATTAATCGCGAATTCAAATTATTGTAATTAATAAATTGTAATTAAATTTTGTAAACCGACCTCAGGATTTTGGTATAAGAGTTTGCCTTATTTAAAAATACCGTATTCTTGGGTAATGGTTGCTTCCAAACATTACCTCCTTCACAGCTGCAACAAGGGTAGGACAAAAAATGTGGCGCGGCGGAACATAAAAAGACGATACAAAATTCGCGTTTTGATGACTTTCCCGTTATCAAATTTCAAAAATAAAAACACTTTTCTTTTCAGTGAAAAATGGTGATTCGTTGCCCTACTTTGTTTTTTCAAAAATATTTTCTATTATATGTTTTTAATTTTTTTTTCAATTAAAAACAAAAATTATGTTACGTTGGCGAGTTTTCAAATAATATTTTATGTACGAAACTTTTTTTCAATTATAAAAAATGTGAATAGTTAAAGAGAAAACAGAAATATAAATTCCGCGCCATCTGCCGCTTTAGCAACAAACTAAAACATGTTCCCCTTTAGCCTTAAGTCTTACCTTTTCGCAAAAGCTCTTAAACGCTGTTTTTAACTTGTGCCTCAATTCCCTTTCGGACTGCTCAGCGGCCAAATCATCTCTATCATGCATGTGCTGATGTTTTCCTAAATCCGTTGTGATTTCACCCACTTCCGTATAAAATTGAACATCCACATGCTTCTTCTTCCCAAACATAATCGCATGCTTTAGATGAAAATGCAAAAGTATGATCATTTCACCGTCGCAAGGTTGAAAGAATGCATTCTTAATATTATTATACAAAATATCAACTTTATCGCCTCTGACAGATGTGTAACGGAAACCATTACTATGAGCCTCCAAAGCTCCAGTCATACGCTTAGTGACGATATTAGGTCGTATGTAGAGATCTTTAAGTTTTGGATTGCCCTTATTTTGCGACAAGACCAGAGTGTCTTGTTTAACAAGATCTTCTTTCTCACGTTCTTCGGCTTCGCGGGTTTTGAATTTTCGTTGTACTTCCTTGATTAGTCGGAATGCAGTGTTGAGATTCGAAGAGGGAGGGGAAATTTCTCCGGGCTCTTTGGTGTTCAAACTGCGGTAGGTGACTTCTTTAACGAAAGTGGCTTCAGGTTGCTGGTAGTTGCCACCTTAAAACAATGAAAAAAAAATTATCAATTGAAGTGAAATAATTAAAAAACCCATGTATCTTTCGTGCACGTAGCAAATTCTGAGAAAAATTCTCTTGTAATAATGCAAGTCCAATTTTCAGAATGTGTAAATAACTTCAATAATTGAAAAAAATTGAATTCATAAAAAATGACATTGAAACTCTCAATTTAACATAATTATATTATTCGCTATAGTGAACAAAAAATATATTACTATACATAAATTCGTTGCAGCATAATACCCATAGGTTTTTTTCATTTTTATCCATACACCACGAAATACTACCACGACAATTATTACCCAAGGATATAAAAAAAACTCAACATTTATATAAAATACAGGGTGTAACATTAAAATAATGAGGACAAAGTGTAACATGACATTTCCCAGGTCAAAATAAAGCGATCTAACCCAACTTATCTTAAAACCAACTCACTCTTTATATTTTTTTTGTTTAAATTAATACACAAGCCGACATGATTTTTGGGGTTTGAAATGTTGTTGTCATTTTTTGCCTTGTTGGCGCTGATTGCAATCCACCACTCATTTTATTGTATCACATCAGGTTTTCAAAAAAATCTATATGGAATTTTTTACAAAAACATTTGATTTCTTTGTGAAAGAAGAATCTGTCTTACAACTGAAACCTATTGACAAATTTTAAGCCAAGAAGCTCCACTCAGAAAAAACATTTTAAAAAGTGACAGAAGTGGAGATAACTATGGCACGACTTATAATATTTATATTGATTGAAATTAAAGCGTTAATATTTGTATTCGGGTCATTATTGGACTGTATGAGTGTTTTATGTTTGAATAATATTCATTTTGAAAATTTCTTCAGTAAGTGTAAAAATGAATCCATAAAAAAATTACTCTCAGGCGTAACTTTTTGAACAAACGCAAAAGAAATCACTCGGAATAAGCATAATATAAATAAAAAATTTATTTTTCCCACGACCATAAAGGTACGAAAGTAACTGCTTCCATACAGCGAATTACGAGTACCTACGAAAGTTGGCGAAAGAAACTGAAACCTAAAAATTTTTTAATGTAATTTTAGAAATAATAATAATAAATGGTGAACGATCGAAATTTTGACTCGTCTTCTTAAAACTTATTTTTTTTTTATTTTAAAACCAAGGCCAATACAAAGATTTTATAAAAAATTGTTTAAAAATAATGACTTTCGAAGAAAAAAACAATAACGCCATTCGGATAACGTATAACAATAATTTAGGTTAAAATGTGTTGTTGTTAACAGATACAAAGTACTTTACAATAATAATAAAACAAAAAAATGGCACCAGACCATGTGTTTTTGATAGTAAATTGCCTATACCAAATTTTATAAAAATCAATTACTCAATTAAAAAGTTATTAAAAAAAAAACAAAAGTAATTTTTAAACTTTGACGCCCTCTAACTTTTTAAAGGTACAACTTGGTATAGAGAAAAGTTTACTCACAGGGCCGTCTCTAGATTTTACAGGCGCCGCGCCGTGGTGCAAAGTTCTGAGTGCCGTCCTTGTCATTTTTTTAGAAAAATTACATCTTTTTATTTTCAGTTGTTTCACAAATTTATTGAAATATGTATTCAACATTTTTACTCCAAAGAATCAAATATAAACACAAAAATTGTATCTTACCTTTTGTTCTTATGAAATCAACAGTCATTTAATTACTTTCGTATACTACCACTACCTCAATCGGAATGAATTGACTGCTACCAAAATAAAGAGTTGTTTTCAAAGAATTGTAGAAATTAATAAATGATAATATTCATTATAATAAAAAAATAGATAGGGTGCGTGGTTCAAGGAACCTGTACAAAAGAGGTCGCCGCCCCTTATCGTTTTCTAAGAAAAAACTATGTTTCTCAGAATACTAAAATGCAACACAATATTTTTCTTAATTGAAAAACAAGAAATTCATTGTATTTATACAGGTTGGATTATAAAAAACGCCCCAGTTATAAATTTCATTACTTTTTTAAAGACGTTACAATACTTCTTTGATAAAAGTTGAACAGTTTTTTGTTGTCAATCGTTTGCGCGTCTTAGATAAAATAAATAAAAACGTTCTATTTTTTTTCTACAGCCTATTCCCTAACAGGAAGGAGCATTGATTGAGCATCTATGCCAAACAATAGATAACAAGAAACTGTTTAACTTTGTTCTAAGAAGTGTAGTCATATCTTTAAAAATAATGGAGTTATTGCTTGGGCATTTTTCATAATTCAGCCTGTATAAAAGACATTTAATAGTTCAGATTGCTTTCAAATCGCTTTATTTATTTTGACCTGAGGAATCTCAGGTTAGCCCCGTATATTATTACGTTGTAATAACAAAATAAAACAACAATCAGTCAAGTACATTTTCTTACCATCGGTCCTGCCCATGGTGGATCCAGGATGGAAAAAGTTGATACGAAGATACGTATAATCGCCCTCGACCGACTGCGATATATTTTTAATGGTGGAAATATGGAACGGCACCGCAATCCCATAAATCGGCAAAATGACGGTTTCATATTTTTGATCCACGTAGAGTTTCAATTCCTTAACTTCAGGCACACGGGGCATTTGACTGACATTTTTATACGACACTGTGCTTTTTCTAACTTTCTCAACATCTTTCGATCCCGATTGTTTAGCTAGGCGTTCCTTTGCTTTCTCGTTCAACATCGAAGCTAATTCCTTTTGATGTTCTTTTCTCTTCTCTTCGGACGTATGTTCTGTCCTAAGTTTGGATTCCAAGACGGCGGTGCGTTTGCCCCTTCCTAGTATTTCAGGTTTTGGGGCATTTTCCTTCTCATCGTCGTTATCTTCATCATCGGACTCATCTTTAAGGAAAATTCCGATATTCTTGATTTTCTTCTTAGATATGGTGAGGACTGAGGCCGGTTGACCTTCATTCACCATCACAGTGTCGCCAATAAACAAAGCATAAGTTTTGCCTTCTTTATCGGTCGCATCTTTGTTTACCAGATTACTAAAACCCATGTTGACGTTGAAAACCATTCCTTTTTTGGCAGGGAGAGTTGTCTTCGGGCCAATCATAAGTGAGCTCTCTTTGAATTCTATCCCTGTTGCAAAACCGAAATTTTTCGTCAAATTATCCGCCAATTCGGGCTTTTCCTTTTTAACGAAATTGTAACCGGCTTCGTAAACCTCAGAAAGCTTGGTTCCGGCTTGTAGTTTCTTCAAAACTTCTTCTTCAAGAGTAACGAGAAAATTATAATTGTTTTGTACTTGTTCGCTTGGGTTTACAAGCAATGTACGGACAATATTTGAACAGTAAGACTTATACCGGGCCCCAAGTGAACATATAATGGCCCCAAAGTGTAGAGTGTTCTTATCACTCACTACACTAAATTTTAAACTGTAATTACCCCCTGACTGAATTATGGCAGGATAACACATATCAACCTGAGACACATCAACACCAGAAACGTACTTTTTGTCGGCGATTGCAGACTCCACGCCTTCTGCCAGTTTGCTGTGTTTAACTTTACGATCCGAGTCAATTATCTCCATTATCTGATCTTTGAGATACTTTGTAAACACATCAACACTTACCATGCAGGCTTTTTTAATAGTTATGATTTCTGAGTCTTCTTTTGGCGACAGTAAATAAGCAATTGCTGCGCTTACATCAACAGTTTGGAAGTTAACTTTAGACAAAGCGGCTCGCCAAGCATCCATGAAAGCTCCCGGATAGTTGTCTTTAGAAAAGATCCCAATTGTTTTTCCATTTTTGCTCTCTTTAATGGCATCAATGAGAAGCTTGAAATTGGCTTCGTCGCTCGTACGGTCTCGCACATGCAAAGACAACTGAATCGCATTCTCGTCTTTGGTTTCCGCTTGTCTGAGAAAATCAATTTTTTTCTTACTGGCCAGGAAGTGAGCTTTCTTCTCGGTTAGAACCATAATGGTGTCGGTGAGTTCGTAGCCCAAAAGCCAGGTCTGGAGGGCCCCCGATTTGCTGTAAACAACTTCATCGTCCACACCGACGGCTGTAACCAAAGCATCCATCTTAGAGAAACCATTCTCGCTCTCCGATTTTTGCCAGGCACTGTATAACTTCTTTAAACGGCGATGAAAAGTTTCTTTGTCTAGATTTATATTTGCCATTGTGGATTATTACATGAGATATTTACACATTTAACGACACAACACCGCGGCGGCGTTACATGAAGAGAAGGCGCCAGTTCGTGTTAGACGTTATTTTGCGCACTTTGCGCAAACACAAAAGAGCGGTAAGTCGGAAATGTCAACAAAATGTCACAGGATTGCCACCACACTAACACCAAATAAACTATTATTACAAAATAATTATTTATTATTTAAAAATAACACACTCATATTTAAGAAAAAAGTAGCGCTAAAGCTAACAACAGACGAAATTTAACAAAAACTACTCCTTTACCTAACAAAACAACGTAAATTAATCAATTGAAAATAAAAATCTTTTTTCCAGTGACACCACCATAACGCAAACTTCCGTCACTAATCTTCTACTTTATTTGACAAAACATATTTCACAAATTGTGTTAATTTTTCTCAAAATTTCATGGTTTTTCCATTAAAATAAAACGTATTTATTGCCAGAATCATGGCTTTGAGTCGTATGTTTCAGATGAACGAGTTATGGTAAGACATAACCTAACTTTTCCACAATTAACCCCAGACTTGTAGCACCCCTCGAAACTCACTTTTTATAAGAAAATCGCCTCCAAAATCCGTACGCAATTTTCGTCAACGCAACAATGACCCTGCCAAGTCCAACGTAAGCAGCATTGAAACTCCGTTCCAAGACGTCACTTTAGGAGGTTCAAATTTACACCCCCGCAATTTGTGGAAACCGTTTGGATTTACAATTGGGGTAACATAGAACTGATGTACGAGAACAATTACACAAAGTTTGATTTTAGTTTAGTGCTGCTTGCTTTGTAGGCGCAGCCATTTGGGAGTATGAGACCATGAGAGCACATGCAATAAAAATGCTGAAAAAACCAGTAAGACTATTTAAACGTCAAGCAGATGATTTCCATTCGAGATCTGTAAATATTTAAATTGCAAGTAATTGGATTCACCTTGTGCGTTTTTAGAACACATTATTGAGACAATTTGAAGAAAAGTGGAAGCTTTTGACGCCTGGTGAAAAAGTTTTTGTACCAATTTGCCTTATAAATGTGCTTGTTTTCGGGGCGTGGAGGATACCGAGATTGCAACCCTTTATGTTGAAATATTTTTGTTCAAATCCTGGAAGCAAAAGTGTGTGTTTGCCTATGATTTTATCAACTTTTAGTCATTATTCAGGGTTCCATCTCTTGGCCAATATGTATGTACTTCATAGTTTCAGTACAGGTAAAATGTTGTATTTTGCCTCCACATTTTTGCCAACTCAAATTATTTAGGTGCAGTACACAGTCTAGGTAAAGAACAGTTCCTAGGGCTGTATTTAGGTGCAGGGGTTATTTCAAGTTTTACCAGTTATGTCTATAAAGTGATTACCAAACAGCCCGGCTTATCACTAGGAGCTGTAAATACACTTTTTAAGCAAATGATTCAAATTTTAAGTTAAATTTTATTTTAGTCTGGGGCTATTATGGCAATTTTGGGCTATGTTTGTACCCAATATCCTGAAACCAAATTAGGAATTATTCTACTGCCAATTTTCACATTTAGTGCAGGCGCTGTATGTCATCAAATTTCGAAATTTATTCCCCTAAAATTTATTCTTTTTATAGGCAATTAAAGTAATCGTGGGGATAGACACAGCTGGAGTTTTGATGGGATGGAAATTTTTCGATCACGCTGCACATTTAGGAGGAGCAGCTTGTGGAATGTAATAAATCAAGCTATTATTATTATTTCTCTAAATGCAATTTGCAGAATGTGGGCTTTATGGGGCAACCAATATTTGTGGGCTAAAAGGGAACCTATTCTCCACTACTGGCATGAATTTAGAGGTTCTATAAAATAATTATTTCCAGTATTATTAAACTTTGTAATGTATATAATTATTTATTAAAATATTGACAGCATTTTTATTTGCAACATGAGTAAAACCTTTACTTTTGCAAGTGCTCCATGTGATATTTAATATGTTCCTCTATGTAAGTAGCAATATAATAATAACTGTGATTATAACCATCTCGTTTTTTGTAAATTATTGGGACGTGGTGGGTCTTGCAAGATTCTATCAAATTTTCTGGTAACAGTTGTTTGGCATGCAAGAAATTATCTTCAGATCCCTGAAAAAAAAATTAATTATTTTTGCAAACATGAATACACTTTTTACCTGATCTACAAAAAGCTCCAATGGGGGTCCATTGTAGGTCTTGACCAATTCAGTGGCGTCCCATTGTGCCCATTCACCCGACTCTTTGGGCCCCAAATAACCACTAAACGCCTTGATACCCCAAGGACAGTTAGATGGATTGCAAATGGGGGCAAAAGCAGAGACTGATTTAAACAACCCTGGATTTTTTAATGCGCAAATTAAAGCCCCATGTCCTCCCATACTAAAAATAATTTATTAGTTTTTTTCAGAGAAAGATACTCTCCATACCTATGCCCCATTATTGACTGTTTTCCACTCAATATGGGAAAATTGTCACTAATAAGCTTCACCAATTCACTTGTAACGTAACTATACATCTTGTAATTATCTTTCCAAGGCTTTTGGGTAGCATCAACGTAAAACCCAGCCCCAACTCCAAAATCCCACGATTCGGAATCACCATCAATGTTCAGATTTCTAGGTGAAGTGTCAGGATTGACAATAATAACCCCGTGTTCAGCTGCATATTTCTGTGCTCCTGCTTTTTCTATAAAATTAGCCTCTGAACAAGTTAATCCTGATAGCCAATAAATAACAGGAAGTTTTTTCTCCTCTGCTTGTGGTGGTAAATAAACACCAAATTTACTGACACAACCTAGGGTTTTGGATTCGTGGGAAAACACCTTCTGGAAGCCTCCAAACATCTTGTTTGAAGAAATTTCGCTCAGGGTACCCATCTGAAGATGATATGAGCAATTCTTTACCTGTTTAGTTACAAATTTTACCTTATATACCAAAAGTCTTAAAAACTCTTTTTGGAAAATTTTAATCTTACTAGTTAACTCGTAACCGGTTGATAATCTTTCCGGTGTCCGGAATTTATAAATAAATCAGTTGATATGAAAAATTTTGCAATTTGTCAAATTTATAAAAACATTGGAACTACTCTTGTGTGCATTATACCTACTATACCACTAACTCTGCTAATTCATAGTTTTTACCTTTTTATTTTAGAAAAAGCTACTATCATTACGAGATACAATAAAAAACAATTTTACAACAAAATTTTAAAAACTGAGGAAAATTTGTAGTTCTACTTGCAGTAGAACCAAAGTAGAACAATTGGTCATCTGATGTTTTTGACATTTTGTCAATGACAAGTATTTTTCTTTTGCCGTAATTTATTTAATTTTCAATGAAAAATGGCAAATAACGTGTTCCCTACCTTGTTTATTTGATTACTATTTATAATACTATCTTTTCTTTTACTGGAGATGTGTTTCTAACACGTGTTGGACGTAACCTCATCATGGCTTCAGCAATCCCATTTGCAGGTAAAAAGTAAAAAATTTCATCATTTGAGACTGTAATGAGAAAAACATTTAGCTCGCAGTTCGGGTGGTATCACGTTGAACGTGGGTCCACCTGTGTTTAATGAATTGGGGCAATATGGACCTGTGCAGAGTAAGACATGTAAACTAATGCTATTCAGCCCAGATGGACAATATTTTGCCTTCGTGGACGGTTCTATGTGAATATGATATATATGAGACTTTCACATGTTATTTATTATTAATTTCTTTTAATTACAGCTTGAAAATTGTGCGTACAGATAACTGGAAAGAAGTTGCAACAATCCAAGATACAAAAGCTTGTTATTTGTCATTTTCTCCAAAAAGTACCTATCTGATGAGTTGGGAACAGTTTTATGTTACTAAAGATGATCCACAAGGAAAACCAAATTTAAATATTTACAAAAGCGAGAATGGTGAACTTGTCAAAAGTTTTATTCACAAGAAACAAGGCAATTGGTAAATATTTACAAACTAAAATTTGTTAGAGTAAAAGAGTAATTTGATAGGGAGCCTCAGTGGAGCGCTGATGAGAAGTTATTTAGCAGAATTGTAAACACTGATGTTGTGTTTTATGAAGATCTCAACTTTGAGAAAATTGTGGTCAGAATTAATTGTCATAAAATCGCAGCGTTCAGTTTGTCTCCAAATGTTGGAACATATTTTATTCTTTGTCACGTACCTGGAGCTTCAGGCCAGCCTTCATTTGGAAAGTAAGGATGCCTAAAGTTTTTAGAAAAAAAAGTAAGAGTTTCTTTTAAGGTTGTTTAAATATCCAAACTTTGACGCTATGCAATCAATCGCTAGTAAAAGTTTCTTCCAAGCTGATAAAGTCGAATTCTACTGGAATTCTAAAGGCAGCAATGCCCTCCTTTTAACAACGACAGAAGTGGATAAAACTGGCGGTTCTTACTACGGCAAACAAGGCCTTCATTTTGTGGGTTTGAACGGGCAAACAGCTATGGTGGCAATGAGTAAAGAAGGGCCGATTTATAGTGTGGCATGGTCACCAAAAAATCACGAATTTTGCGTCGTTTATGGATTTGTACCGGCGAAAGCCACAATTTTTAATTTGAAATGTGAACCAGTTTTCGAATTTGGCACTGGACCACGGAATTCACTTTACTATAATCCACAGGGGAATCTTGTACTTTTGGGGGGTTTTGGAAATTTAAGAGGACATGTTGAGGTGTGGGATGTGACGGAGAGGAAAATGATAGGTTTGTCAAATAAAAAAAATGTTTTGATGAAAATTCAATTTTTCTTAGGAAATTGTGAGGCGCCAGATTCGACACTTTTAGAGTGGTCTCCTGACGGCATCCACTTCTTAACGGCGACAACTGCCCCCAGACTTCGAATCGGAAATGGGTATAAAATATGGCATTATTCAGGAGCACTTTTACACGAAAAAAATTCAGGTCTCCAGGAAGAACTGTATGAAGTGTGTTGGAAGGTACAAAAAAACCTATGATTGAAAGGTAGTTTCATTTTGATTTTGTAGAAATTTCCCAAATACGCTTTCAAAGACCCTGTCATAACTTCGGAAAAAGTTGAAGGTATAGCCACGAGTCAGCCGGTGGCTTCGAAACAGGCTTATCGGCCCCCTTCTGCTCGCAACCGTCCAACAATACGTTTCAGTTTAGATGATGATGAAGAACAATCCCATAAACCAGGTAAAAAATTGGAAAATAAATGTTAAGCGGAACTAGAGAATTGTTTTAGGAGCAGACTCCCAATCAAAAGCGTCTCTTAAACAAAAGAAGAAACGCGAAGCGAAAAAAGCAAAGAAACTTGAAGCAGGAGAAGACAATAGAGAAGTTTCTGCTCCGGTTGTTAGTAGCGTCCAAATAAATTTGACCGGAGATCCGGAAAAGGATAAAAAACTTAAAAATATAAAAAAGAAATTGGATGCTATTGAGAAGTTGAAAGAACAGCAAGCTCAAGGAAAGCCTTTAGAAATCAATCAACTTTCGAAAATTAAGGGTGAGGCGGATTTGTTGAAGGAATTGGAACAACTTCAAGTGTAATTAAATGCTATTACATCATTTGATCCACTACTGTTTTCAAATAAAATGACTAAAAATGGATACGTAATTGTGTTTTATTTGAAATATTCGAATTACACAACAAAATAATTTAATTTAATATGTTTTATGTACAAAATTATATCTCACATTAATAACTATTTACGAATTTTGGCGTTGTAAAAAGACCGCCACTACTCACGTAACAGTGTCTCCTAGTCGTCAGCTATTGGTGCTGAATGATATAATACCTACCAGTATTAAAAACAGCACGATACAATCTATCTAAACATTCATAGAAATGCATGACCAGTCTTAGGGGGAATTATGTTACAATGAGAAGAAAGAATTTATCACAGAAAAATACGTTAACCCTCAAATCTTAATTATTTGTCATTTGACGTAGTCTTAAATTGCAACAACGATATGTTCAATATCGATAATGGTAAAAACATGTCGAAAATATATAAATTTTGTCTTAAAAGAATGATTTATAAAGCTGTGCGTTCGTCGTAGACTATAACAGCCTCGTTGTCGACTAGAGAATCTGTATCTTTATGAAGAAATTGACTTCTCGATTTGCTTAAAGCTATAATCGCGGCTTCGTCGTTGCGCATACGATTTTTTCGTTTCTTGCTAAAGTTCACCTGAGAATCATATTTTTATTACTTATTCTGTAAGGTTATTACAACATTCACCTTTGCATATAAGTCGTTTAAATCATCTTCAGTTGACAAAGGTCTCGGCTTCGAGCGAACCCAAGCAGGAAGGCTACGAGTTTTCAAAGTGGGTTCGTCGGAATTCGGCTCGTCTTTGCCGCAGACTTCGTCTAAAACTAAAAAGTTTTCATATTAAAATATGTCAGAAAATACGCTAAATATTAATTGATTTGTGTTAGATATTCCTGGAAATTCTATTTTAAACATATTCGGTTTTTAACATTTAATTGGGGGAATTTTACGTTCCTATTTGATAGGATTTCGCCGTAAAATAAAATGTGACAGATTTTACTGGATACGAGTACACATAAAACTTTAATAATGGTTTTAAAAAAATCTATTTCAGTGGAAATAGCAGATAGGTCACCGAAAATAGTTGTAGTCAAACCTGAAAAAAATCTAAAATCTGACAAAAAATACAGGGTGTTTATTGGTCGTTAGTTTTTAAAATAAATTGTTTTTTGATGAAAACACTACAAAAACAAATATTTACTGCTGCAAAGAAAAAACAACAAACTTTAAAGCTAACCATTTTTTAGCGTGTTGCATTTGTGATAAAAAAATTAAGAAGTTTGTTAAAACTTCAATAAAAACAATAACAAAATTAAATGGAGCACCCTATTTTTTGTTTTCGCATCTAAAAGATTATAAAGTTAATAACTAAAAAGATATTTAACTTTAAACTTAAAAAATAAACCATTGTTTAAGTAGTCAACTTTTGTTTGTCACTACAAACCAACCTAACCAAATTTATGGCATCCTATTCACGAATATCCCTAAATCCTAGGGGGTAATTTCTTGTTGACAAATCTATACACGCCCAGGTCTGTACTTCTAGCTTTCACCCTACTCTACACTACAAGTCGGCTTTTACAATCTCTGGATAAATCCCAACAGATAAGTAGGTAACCCGTGGTGGAATTTATTTATGGAAGTTATAAATATCTTCTTTTTGTAAATTCTAGGCATTTAAATGTTTATGTTTTTAGATAGACATTTCAAAAATCTACTAGATACACAAACAAAAAATAGGGTGTTCCATTTAAACCTCTTAAGTTATTTAATTTTTAACAAATTTCTAAATTTTTTATATTTACAAATGCAATAATACACTAAAAAACTGTTATTTATACCTTAGAAGTTTGTACTTTCTTCTTTAAAATTTCTGGCTGCCTTAGTTTCTTTGTATTATAAATTTTTAAAAAGAGTATGTTTTCGTCAAAAAAAAAACAAACTTATTTCAAAAACTAAGCAAAATCGACCAATGAAGGTTTAGCTTATAAACATTGTATTTAATAAATAGCTACATCCAAAAATGCCAAGAACCATATGGTGTTTAATTATTAAAAATAACACAAGTTTGCATTGTAACTTATTTTTGGGACATGCTGTATGGTTGAAAATAATTTTAGGTGATGCACTAGATTAGTATCTATCAATTTCCTATACAGGGTGTATCAGAATTAATTTTAACATGTAACACATCTCAATAAATAATACATTTTTTCTGTTTGTAATTTTTCAATAAAAGCTTTCAAATTTGATTTAAAATTTGGAAATGATAACATATCAAAACGTATACCCGCCTATGGGTATCAAAACGGAACTACTTTAAAAGAACAGCATTGTTGATTATTTATTAACATTGAACGGCTCGTTTACACAAAATTATGGGAGAAAACAATAAAAACAATTAATAAGAATTTTGAAAATGTTATAAAGAAAAGTTGTTTTACTTAGTGAGTTCTTCCACGTGTTAAAATTAACACACGTATTTCTGTACACATCTTTTCAAATTTTATCATTGAAAGGTCAATATTGGACTTTACCATCTCGCTGGGACATCCTGTATAATTATATAACTTCAAACTTACTGCTGCTCGAAGCGTATTGTACATTCTGGGGTGAAAATTCTGAAATTTCAGGCATCGGTGATTTTGGTACAATCTCCCCATTCGTGGTAATTGGAGGACCCAACTGCACTGGTTGACTCACAGGCCGTTGCCTCCTCGTTGTATTAGGCTGACCCTAAAATTTCAATTTCACACAACTATAAATCTACTCGTAAAAGCTGCTGTCATAGCATAATAGCATTCTCTTACATACAAAAAAATTACTGAGGATGTTACTAAATCTTTTTGTTATTGTTTTAATTTCGAACAAACGATTTTTTGGATTAAATATTTTGTCCAATTAGCTTAAACCCACCTGCGAGGAGGGTCCCGGATGGCTACTACTCCTCGGAACGGGGCAAATCCCCGGACACTGAGTACACTGTGGCCCCCCAATCATCCTATTGGTGTACCAAGGATTGGCCAGAACCGGCGCCACCAACCTATTACTATAGCCCCATCCGCAGCCCTTCTGTTCGGCGTAAACGGCAGCTTGACTTGGTGATACGATAGGAGGCACTTGGGTCCCACTCGAACTTCCGTCCACTTTGCGAAGACCTGCAACAAATTTCGAAAGGAAATTATAACGGATATGACACTCAACAGGGAATTTCGATTTTAATTTCCTATAACTTACAGTAATGTTTGTCCCGTCGAGGCATGATGCAACAGCGATACAGGAGAAAGGCGCACAAAAGGCAGACGACTAAAGCCGCCCCACAAAAAACTGCAGCCAAAACAGGAAGACGTTCAGCTGATATTCTCCAGCCTCTGGAAGAGGCGGTCGGCTCCGGCCACATGCTCGCCGTCAACGTGACCCACTGCTGCTGCAGCACGCGGCCGCGGGGGTCGCTCGCCACCATGTACCCTTCATCTCCTACAACAAAAGGGTTGGTTAATACGTATTAATAGCATTTAAATTACTCAAAGTAAGGCGTTTACTTTATTCATACATCATACAGGGTGTTCCGTCTAAACCCCACATTAAAAATATTGGGAGTTCGAATAATCATATTTGTTTGAAAATTGGTACATAGCCATAATGCATTAAGTCCTCCTAAACGAAAATATTTTCAAGATGGTGACACTTCCGGTTATACCGGAAGTCGGTCTCAACTTTCTTATTTTAAATGGAAAGGTATATTTTTTACTGCGTTTTTGGATTAATCGGGTTATTTTAAGGGAGTTTTCATCAGCTTTCCCTATACCTAAATTTAGCCGTTTTTGAAATATTTGGAGTTTTTCAAAAATTTTTGGATCTGTACCTTCCACTTTAAAAATCGGTAACTCTGCCATTTTTTAAGATTTTGAATTCGTTTTTTGGCGTTTGAAAGAGAAAGCTTAGATCATTTTTCCGGTGTTTTCAAATTTTGAAAAAAAATTAACAAACAATTAAATTTTAAGGTTACTTTTGTAGTAATTCAAATACCCATAACTCAATTTTTCCAAATGAACTACCCCAATTTTTATTTTACTACAGAATTTAATTCTGCATCGATCTGTATTAACATTCCCTATACCTAAATTTAATAATTTTTAAGTCATGGTGACTTTTTGTTAAGACTGCCGAAAATCTATCACTAGCCACATCCGTTTTCGTATAATTTGCTATGGAAATCAAAAATGTCAAAATTGTTTCTCAATAATCGTCGACAGTGACTTATTATTTGACAAATAGTGCCAAAATATGGAGACAAAGCTACTCAAACTTAGATTTAATTAATTTATTTTGTATTTATCGAAACTGTAACAAAGTTATGATATCGTTCATTAAACAAAAATAAATTTTTCTCACTTGTTAGCTTTAAATAATGATCGCATGGTAGAACCTATCAATAATAATTAAGTTTGCATAACTTTGATTCTCCATATTTTGGCACTATTTGTCAAATACTAATTTACTGATGACGTTTGTTTAGAGAAAATTTTGACATTTTTGATTTCCATAGCAAACTATGTGAAAACGGGCTAGTAATAAATTTTCTGTAGTTTTAAAAAAAGTCCATAACTTCAAAATTATCAAATTTAGGTATAGGGAATGTTAATACAGATCAATGCACAATTAAATTATCTTCTATTTAGTAAAATAAAAATTGGGGTATTACATTTGAAAAAATTGAGTAATGAGTATTTGAATTATTACAAAAGTAACCTTTAAATTTTGGGATATGTTTTTTTTTCAAAATTTGAAAACACCAGAAAAAGGATCTAAGCTTTCTCTTTCAAACGCCAAAAAAACGAATTCAAAATCTTAAAAAATGGCAGAGTTACCGATTTTTAAAGTGGAAGGTGCAGATCCAAAAATTTTTGGAAAATTCCAAATATTTCAAAAACGGCTAAATTTAGGTATAGGGAAAGCTGATGAAAACTCCCTTATGGCTATGTACCAATTTTCAAATAAATACGTTTATTCCAACTCCCAATACTTCTAATGTGGGGTTTAGACAGAACACCTGTATATTCAATAAGAGTTAATAATAATTAACACAACCAAAAATGCAAATCAAAATTTAAACTAATTTTATTTCATTTCGATTAAGTAGGGAAAGGTGGGGTACGTAATTATGCGCAATTTTCTATAAAAATAAGTTACATTTAAAATGATTGTTGATTTATACACGATGATTCAAAAGAGTTGGGAGTGATAAAGTGATAGGTAACATTAATAGAAGCTCAGACTAAATTTTATGGATTTTCTAGTTCGTGTGGTTTTAACAATATGAATATTTAAAGATAAACACAGATTAGCAATGCTGCAGTACATTTTGAACCAGCTTGTGCCTGCACTCAATAATTATTTAAAGTATCTATTTGTTACTATAGAAACTAACAAATTTTTGATGTGATGTTGCCAACTTTGCATCTTCAGAAAATTTCTACATTTGAGAGAGGTTTTAAATTAAGATTTTATTTATTTTTTAATATTCTAGATGCATGTTTTAACGTCTTTTACTAACAAAACACAAAATTACCTTCCTTAATTAATAAAAAAATAATGTTAAAGTTGCATTTTTGAAAAGCTATATGTATCTACCTAAGAAAAGGTAGTAGATAAAGACTATATTTGTTTGAATTTTATGGTGCAATAGAGGTAATTAACTTTTTGGGTCCTTAGCGATAAAGAAACCCCCAACCCCTCAATTGTAAAGTTTGTTTCCTTCGAGGTTGCTTCAAGGGTCAGCTGGTCGCTTTGGTAACAATAGCTTTACAACCACCCTCATTAATCATAGCTTGGTAAGTCAAAACCATAAAATTCAAACAAATTAGATGAACTTTATACGGTATGTGTAAAAATGTCAAGGCACACTTGTGACTAAACAGGGTGTTTCACATAATTTTACGAGGTGTGCGCCTGTAAGATGCAATCAATAATACATATTCCGATACGAACTCGATTACAAATTTTGAAAAATTGGATAATCTTCTCTAGTTTGTTCACCCTTTCAAAAATTACAACATTTTTAGTTAGCTGGTGATTAAGATAGATAAACTAAAATCATATTCATGCCGTCTTTTGATAGAACAAATGATAATTGTTTCTGAAAAACTGCAGTTTATGACTATTAATGAAACAGGAATTAGTTTGACAACTACTGTCATGGGTTTCCAAAAGTTAAATAATTAAATGTGTATTTTCTGTATCTAGTGTTTTGTGACTTTTGTATATTTGGGTGCGTACATTAGGCGCAAGCCTCGTAAAGTTGTGTGAAACACCCTGTACAGGTGCGCCAGAGCTCGCGCTCCAGAGAAAAAATAAGATTCTAGGAACATGGAAAAAATGTTAAAAAAATTCTATCTAGAAAAATTTCGAAGTTGAGAGTTTAAATTTTGCACTTTGACTCTGTTGGAAAAATAATTTTCTAAGTTTTTTTTTGCTACAGGCTATTAGAAGAGAAAACAAAGAAGATGTATCCTAAATTGTAACTCTGTATAATGTTATCTGTGGCTTTTATTGACATTTTTTTTGTCGTTGTTGTTTTGAACAAAATATTTGATTTAAGTTGAAAAACTCTCAGAGATCGATGCTAAAGGGAAGTTATATTTTCAATATTACGATTTTAAACAGTAAATTTTACTACAATTTCTTAAAAGATAAATAATATAAAATGTTGTAAAATATTTTATTCTTAAATAACAAATCATGAATACTTTCAAAAATGCCAATCAACTTGTTGTTTTAGAGTAAATCTGGGAATCATACTGAGAACATTGTCACTAATGTATTTTTTAACACTATTTTATGTTTTTATAATGATGTAATGATCTCCAGTAAATAAAAGCGAGAATTGCTCATGATCTCCAATTAAAAAATATCGCTTCCCCAAGCCAACATTTTTACTTATTGATCCCATCAAAAATTGATTTAATCGATTTAATCCACCGCCAGCATATTTCAACAGAAAACTGAAACAAATTTGAACACCATCAACAACACCCCTTAATTTACTGGCGTTTCCTTATACGAAATGAAAATAATATTTTAGGGTGGATTAAAAATCCGGAATAATGTTAAACGAGCTGATCTCAATGCAAATTAGATTAAACAGTTTTGGCAAAGAAATTGTTCTAAGCGGAAATTATGTTAGTTATGTTCCGGCTAAACCCCATATTAGAAGTATTGGGAGATCTGACAATGACAATAACATTTATTTATTTAGTCTTGCTCAATGTAAATATTTTCAAAATTTTTAGATTTCCTCTTCAAAAATCGATAACTCTGCCACTATTAATTATTTTGAAATCGTATTTCGGCATATGAAAGAGAAAGGTTTTAGATCTTTGCTTTAGTGTATTCACAATTAAAAAAATAATTAACAAATCACCAAAAGTTAAGTAAGGTTACGTTTGGGAAACTTTAAATACTCTTAACTCAATTTTTGTAAATGAAACGCCCCAATTTCTTGATTAAATTAATTAATTCTGCTATTCTGCATCAATCTATATCAACATTCGCGATACCTATGTTTAATGGTTTCCACAGAGTTCTAATAAAGCACATTTAACAGAATGGTACTATGAAAAAGTTTTAACAGTAATGGCTTTCATTCGTTTGAACTCATTTCGACCCCACGTTTGCCACAGTTTAATTAAATTGAAGTTATGCCAATTCAATAAACTTTATATCTCTACAAATTATATTACTGGAAATCACGCTGCTACTACTTTGAGGAACAACTAAAAAGTCCCCTAATTTCTGTATTATTAAATTTTTGCACACCTTTGAAACTAGTCGACGAGTCACGTCCATATGACAACCTACCACCGACGTGTTACATTTTTCACACTCCCTAGATAACAAGTTAGTTACGAAGTCGTAATATGAACACGTTTCTTACAGTTCCATCTTAAAATTTTAATTAAATTTTCATCAACTTTTTAATGGCAAGAAAAATTGAGTTGGTGGAGTAGTCTAGTGCATTAAAATTGTTGTAAAACCGGAATTTTTGTCTCTGATAACAGCAACTCGAACACGATTTCATCCCGTATATGTTGTCATAAAGTTTTTATTGGCACGACAAAATTGTTTTGTAGTTTGTTTTACGTAACCACAATAAATATAAGCCCGCAGCTCGCACAAATTTCCTATTAAACTATATCTGAGAGAGCATTTTGCGTTAATTTTTTACATCGGAGAGATAATTTTTCGATCTGGCAGTTGTATTCCAAAGGGAATCCATAAATCATGGTTAAAGTGCTTGTGCAATTCCGTTCCATAATTCAGGATTGCCATAACATCAATACACTTCAACATATTGGTAAAATTATCCCGATCGGAACAGTCTAGCGAAATTTATGACTTTTCCGAAAGGTATTTTGCAAAATGACGGAACAAATGTGTAACATACAACCTTTTCTCGGTTTTAGAATCAAACTGAG